GAGTAAACCAGGAACATGTTTCCATTTTGAGAGGACAGTATATGTGCTTAAAAATAAAAAAAAAAGAAAAGAAAAGAAAAGGATAGAAGAAGAGAGGTTATATCTAATGCATAGATATACGCACAGAGCCATGGATGCAAAAGCACTGTTTTAGTTCAATTACCCTATAGTAGATTGTATTGCATATGAGAGGGCGGGGTAGAAGGGGAAGGGAGAGAAGGGAAGGGAGAATGAGAAATAATGTAAACATGGCTTTGAATATACCCACCATATTTGTGGCTTCCTCTCAATTTTATATACAATCATGGAATTTTAAGAGCTAGAAGAGTTCATTGAGATAATCCAATTTCCTTATTTTACATTTAGAGAAACAAGGCCCTGAGAAAGGGGAGGTGATTTACCTAAGGTCACTCTGCCAAGTGTTCTACTGAAAGACAATGTGGAACAGTGGTTAGGAATGTGGCCATTGGAGACGGATTGTAGGAACTGAAATCTCAGCTCTGCAGCTTACTACCGGTGTGACCTTGGCAAGTCACTTAGCTGCTCTGTTCCTTGGTTTTCTTAATCTCTAAAATGGGGGTAAAAATAGTGCCTACCTCATAGGGTGCTATAAGAATTAAAGGAGTTAATATACGTATGAAAAGCACTACAATAGTGCCTAGTACTTAATAACTGCAATAGAAGTTAGTTGTTATTGCTGCTGCTGCTGCTGCTGCTGCTATTGTTTTTAGTGAGATAATTCTGTCATTCTAAGGCCAATGATTGCCACATACCAAGTTGGCTCTTCCCAGACTTATGGTGTCTAAATAAATAAATGCAAACCTCCATGGGTATCTTCTGAAGTCACCTTGAGTTTATCTTGTCAGCAAATAGAGTATAGAAAGCACAAGGATGAACCACAGGTGGTGACATTTGAGTTTATACTATGTGAACTGTCTGAATGGATATTCTGCAGTAGCAATGACAATTGAATTCTTTGTTTTCCACTCTGTTCCAAAGCAGAATGTGTTCTATGTATACATATGCTTTGTTTTAAAGTTTATCATTATCAAAATAATAGAAAATTAAAAATTGTATTGAAGTGAATAGCATTATATATATTTGGTTTTTCTATGAATTGACAGTATCATCATCATGTCTAAATAACATTTACTTGACAGTGGACCTCCAGGATGCCATGTTGAGTACAGAATGAAAAAGTGGATTAAGTACTTATGAGCCTATCCTTTACCATAGAGTGTTTGGAACAACAACATTCCAGAATTAGTGTTCTTTCAAACTATGTTAAATTTAAAATATTAATCTTTTTCTAAATGTTTTCTACTTTTATTTTCAAAAAGTAAACTATTTGTCAGTGAATTTAAGCTCTGCTTCTCAAAGCTTTGACAAAAATCACAGTTATGTATTTTCTAACTCTAGGCACAGAGTAGTGTGTGCCTCGGTATCATGTGCCTAAAGAGACCTGAAATATTTCCTTGTCACATGGGTCGACTGACACAAATTTTAAGAAAAAAGTTGTGACTGAGAGTCAGGGAGCAGGGAAGAATTATTTTCTCTTAGTTTATACTAGTTTTGTGGTTTAAAGGAAGATTACTTCCAAAGACACTCAATAACCCTGAATTAGGTGTGACATTTCTGGCTGTTTCCTGGCTGTGAATAGTCGGGATTGGAACTTTGAAAATGGTTCAAAATGGCTATAGGAATCTCTCTCTCTCTCTCATTCACATTGCAAATAAACATACTGAGGGAAAAGAGAATTTCTAGGTTTCCATACATAAATGTAAGTGATTTTAACATGATATATCACATAGCAAAATGCATCATTAGGCATTAGAAGTGAGACGTTTTTCATTTTCAAATTTAGCTTGTTAGGTCTAAGTGGCATTAAAATAAGTGCAGATTCATAATCAACTGAGGCTCAAGGAGGAGCATTATTCTAGCCATACCCACGCCATTTTAATACTGATTACAGTGAACCAAAGACTTGATTGAAAGAGCATGTGAAGAGATAGAAAATGTACTTTAGAAGACCAAAATAATACCTACCAATTTCTATATTAAAACAGAAAGCATTTTATTGAGTTCTTTTCAGTTACAAAGTTCTTGATTGATATTTTTGCATTGTCAATGGCCTTGAGTGGAAAATAGCTCTCCATCCTTACTCATTAAACTCTCATTCTTCAATGAACAAAGAACTGTATGTATTGGTTGAAAGGAAGTTAGATGAACTTTTTTTTTTTTATTGAAACAATAGAACAGATAAAAATTCCTACGTTCATGGAGCTTTCTAGTGGGAAAAGACAGATGACAGACAATAAACAAATAAGTGAAATATATAGTGTGGCATTTGGTGATAAGTTCTTTGAAAGATAGGGAGGAGAATAAGTACCATTTTGGGGGTGGTTTTCTATGGGAGGTTGCAAAGACCCAGAGGTGGGAACATGCCTGGTGTTTTCAGAAACTGCAAGAAGGTTAGTGCAGCTAGAATGCATATGCTAGGGGACAAATATCAGGCGATGAATTGGAGAGGTTAGGGTAGGGAGAGGTGCACCTTGTAGAAGCCTTGTAGACCATTTAAAGATATAGGCTTTGGGCCGGCCCGGTGGCGCACTGCTACAGTGCGCCGCTTGGGAGCACGGCGGCGCTCCCGCCGAGGGTTTGGATCCCACATACAGACCAGTTCCCGCTCACTGGCTGAGCGAGGTGCGGGCACAGCACCGAGGGTTGCGGTCCCGTTGCTGGTCCCGGTCCAGTACGGGCGCGACACTGAGGGTTGCGATCCGTTGCCGGACACGAAAAAAGACAAAAAGGAAAATAAATAAAAATAAATAAAAAAAATAAAGATATCGGCTTTTATTTTGAAGGAAAGGACACCATTGTTGCTTCTGAGCAAAGGAGAGATACAATATGACTTAGATTTTAAAAGTTTCATCCTGGCTGCAGTGTGGAGAATGTGCTATAGGGAGACAATGGTGTAAACAGCAAAACAATCAGGAGAATATCACAATAATCCAGGTGGTAGGTTCAAGCCATCAGAAGAGGCAATGGGGAATTGAAGAGATATGTTTGGATTCTGGATATATTTCAAAGGTAGCACCAACAGGATTTACTGATGGATTGCATGTGGGACTTGAAAAACAGGAGTCAGGGATGACTTCAAATTCTTTGGCCTGAGCAAAGAGAATAATGGAAGAGCCACCTATCAAGATGGAGAAGACTATGAGAGGAGCAGGTTTCAGAAGGGGTGGAAATCAGGAGCTCAGTTTAGGACATACTAAGTTTGAGCTACCTTTTAGACAACCAAGTAGAGATATTGAGAAGGCAGTTGGATATTCAAGTCTAAGGCTCGGGGAAAAGACACATGCTGGAGCTACAAATTGAAAAGTCTTGAGTGTATAGACAGTATATGAAGCCATGAGATGGCACGAGATTAGATTGTTGTTGATCATCAGTGTATATTCATTTATAATATTGTATCTGCTTTCTCCCCAAGCATGCTCATCTCTGATATTAATTCAAACCAAACTAGGTGTCTCCATAGGCCATTCACAGAATTTGTAGGTCTGGGGATATAAAGTGGCATAACACTGAAATCCTGCCTTCAAGGACCTTAATATTTGGTTAGGGAATTAAGACCTCAATTTGTTAAACTGTTCATACTACAAAGCAATATGTACCATATAACACATATCAGGCAATCTATGTGCCTTCATTGAGTGATTTCTATGTTCTATGTGCTTGCCATAGATGCAATAGAAATTCCAAAAAGTGAGATTCTGTACATAATAGATGAGCCACCCTCTAGTTGTCTATAGATTTCTTTGAAAATACATAGCATGAAATGCTGAAGTAAAATAAAATCATCAATTTCACTGCAAAGTAAAATCATCAAGTTATTTGGTTTCAAACTAGGTTTTTTAACATTGTATGAAAGGGCCAAGGTGCAAAATTGCAGCAGTGGATGGAAATAGTAATGATAAAATAATGTGAAGAATGAAAATAAGAACATTTTTACAGGGTTTTTAACTTTACAGAGGACTTTGACATCTCAGATAGCACTTGATCTTCTCAAACCTCTCCGTGCTAAATAGGGCAGTTAATGCCTCTACTGGCCTTAAGAGCTTCAGTGTCGCCTAGCTCAGCATTCTGTGGGGAAAGGGGGTTCTTTCAGTGATTTATCATGAAGTTTAAAATTGCCATTTCTAAAGCCAATTTAGATCCTGCTGTTCCTATACCAGTATACTACCAGAAGTGTTGTTTACATCCTCTCAGTACTACGAAGAACAAAAATTTACCACCACCTAACTCATTAAAAATGCTCTGCAGGCCTGAGGCTCAAAAGCCACAATATGAACATAAAGAGCTCAGTCCCCCTCAAGGACACTTTATTTCATGAGCTCTGGTAGCTGCCTCTCTCACTTAGAATCCTTTTCTTCCTCAGAGCCCCAGTCTTTAATGTAATATTAAACCAGATGCAAGAATGTGTTCTTTCTGAATGTAGTTCTCTTCCCAGTTTTCATTTCAAATGTGGGATGTGCTGGGTTAATATTTGTACTCCTGGCCACATTCAAATTCGAAAGTGTTTTTTAATCAAGCACTGACTTGAACATTAAAAACACATGCACACCATAGAATAACGTTGTCCTTTGTTTACATTCCAATACAAATATTTTTGAAGGCTGTCTCTCTTTTACCTTGAGTATTTTCTGATGCTGCAACCTCCAGCTTAATCCTAAATGCTTGACAATGTATGCGTGTAACACAGAGTGTTATTATTGCCTCCGGCTAGCTTCATGTCATCTAGTTTGTCTTTTGCTTCACTCCTTTGATAGTATTATCAGGACCAATTGTGAATCTGCCAGATGCATTTTTTCACAAAAGGATAAATCTAAGAAGGCTTGTGTTTTCCTCTCTCTCTTCCAGGACTGTTTCCATTAAAGGACTTCTTCGTCTTTTTTTTTTTTTTTTTTTTTAATGAAACTGAGTTTGCTTAATCAGAGATGGAGCAAACAGACTGCAAACCTTACCAGCCTCTGTCAAAAGTCAAGCATGAAATGGATCTAGCTTATACCAGTTCTTCCGATGAAAGTGAAGATGGAAGAAAACCAAGACAGGCATACAACTCCAGGGAGACTCTGCATGAGTATAACCAAGAGCTGAGGATGACTTACAATAGCCAGAGTAGAAAGAGGAAAGAAGCAGAGAAATCTACTCAAGGTATGTTTTTATTGGATTTTTATAACTAATATCATTTATCATCAGGGAATACTTGCGTGCATAAACTTATGTTTCAAAAACAAATTTGCTGATGTTAACTGGTTAATAATTCGCACTGTTTACATATGCTTAGTGAATCTATTTCATATGCCAACCCAGCTGAGGTTGTAGGTTACATGTGCTTTTTACGGATTATGCATGAATTTGGATACAACAATCCTCTTATCAGAGCATTCAAAATTTGTCTAATCCTACAAATAGCCATTTATAAACTGGAGGATAAATAATTTATAGTAAGATGAAAAGTAAACAGCTAAGTGCTTTTCAAGCCATTACCTATATGGGACAAAGTCTCAAATAAGTATTTGGCTGCTGAAAAAGCAAGCAGGTTAGTGAAGACCACCAAACAAGTGTCCAGAAAGTCTGTCAACAGAATGAAGAAACTTTGTGCAGCACAGTCAGAGGGAAAGTAAGAGTTTTTTGAAACCCTGCCTACCACAGCCATATTTTGGAGAATACTCTTTGGGCAGCCTTGCTTTCTCAGTTACATTTGGATAAGACAGTTTTTAACAAATAAAAAACAAGTAGAAAGAAATATGATTTCTTATTTCTATTCAGTTAATATTTAAACAGTATTCAAAACTATTTTAACTACATAGGAAAAAGATATTGACATTTACACAGGTTATTTCACATGAAAGTCAATGCTGAGATTCCAAAAACGATTTATCTAGATCAGTGGTTCTCACAGTGTGGACTCTGGACAAGTAGCATAAGCATCACCTGGGAACTTGTTATAAATGCAGATTCTTGGGCTCCACCCTTAACCTGTTGAGTCAGAAACTCGGGGGGGGGGGGGGGTGAAGCCTAGAAATTTGTGGTTTCACAAGCCCC